ACCGTGTTCATATAAGTAATACTGTCAAAAACATTTGGTCAAATCAAATTTTCAAGTGTAACTTGTAACTGTGCTTTCTTATACGTTCATATTCGTATATATTTGTCGATGGCGTTACATAATTTAGAAACGAGTTTTTGCTGAAGTATTTTATGTTAGTGTTCAGAGTTTTGTGTGTGGACATCATATCCCACCGTGTCCCACGCCATAATTCACATGGAAATCTGCCAACGCTCTAAAGAGCGATTAACAAGGTCACACGAGCACATGCCTATCTCATCACCACCACGTGTGTATCTGACCTCTGGGCTTGTCGCCAAAGGTGTGACTGAACACCTGAAAAATCTGTACTGAAGACGTGTGTATATTATACGAAGCAAAATAATTATATAGCTTGGGAAATGAACCTGAAATGTCAGAAATGCGAATTGCAGTTCGACAACCATTTCACGTGAAAAATAAACATATAACTGATATACGATGATAACGCTATGAAAGTCACGGGTTTCGTTCCATAATGCAACCCTGTCGATAAGTCTGTATTAAGCCGAAGTCGATGTATCGATGTTCCAACTGTGGTAGTGCTAACGTCACCATGTGGTCCTGGCAACAAGAACAATGATCAGAGAGAACGTCAATAACGAAGAAATTAATCTAAGGGGACAAAGTCCCAATCATTCTCATACACATAGGACTTAAAGGCCTCGTTCCACAGCCGATCTTAGTGCCAAGGTTGTCGTACGCCTAGATCAAAGTATGTTGCGGTCACCTAAACTCTTAGGTCGCTTGTGAAATGGGACTGTTATAAAACATTATGAGAAATACAGTAAATATCAAAACTGAGTTATGTGTTGTATAAATGCGTATATATGCATATCCACACGACACACACAACACATAACTCATTCAGAACATACTTTGATATAGGCGTACGGCAAGGCTCGCTCAACATTAGCTGATCCAGTTAGCGTGATGTATGTTGTGAAATAGTCACTATCTAATTTTGATTGTAGTCCGTTTTTTTCTTTGAATATATTCGCTGGTCGTTGTTTTATACAAACTGAAATTTCTAATGTTGTTGGTGGAATGATGATGATAAAGCTTGTAGTCAATGTTTCTTACATTTAAGTCAGCACTAAATTGTCGGGCATGTTCACTAATCAGTTTCCACTAAGAAACAACAAACATTTACAGTCAAAAGTTTTGCAACATACAGTTAGAAAGATTAAGTCTCATGGGTTTTCCTAACAATTTTAATGTTATCGAAACCTACTTGATTGTCAACACAAAAAGAAAATGGTTTACGATAAAGGAAAGAAGAAATAGTTCATGATGAAAAAATGAGACATACATTATTCCAGTCGATATGTCACACTTATTCACGACTTATTATAAGACCAGGGATCACTCCAAGTTAGTTGGTTGGATGGTTGGCTGTTGTTTAACGCCGCACTCAGCAGTAAATGATCGAGTCTGGGACAGGCAATCCAGTGATATATATCATGAGCATCGATCTACGCAATTGGGATACGATGACATGTGTCAACCAAGTCAGCGAGCCTGACCACCCGATCCCGTTAGTCGCCTCTTACGACAAGCATGGGTTACTGAAGACCAATTCTAACCCGGATCTTCACGGGTGCCACATTTAGTAACTACTGAGGGAAGATGTTTATCAAGTGAAAGTCCCCTTTGAATATCACTCCAAGGGAATATTTTACAATCATTATTAAATCTGAATTATTGTCAGTATGAACCGTGTGGATCAGTTCTCGATGTATTTACCCCCATAAAATAATCGAAATGGTTACTTAATATTTGTTTACTTGTTTGAAGAAAATATGATAATTAATAAAAAATTCTATCAAACGCAATTGTCAATATATCGTTATATCGATTTCTGCTTTAATAGTTTATTTATCTTCTCCTGTTCAAAGAAGCAGAAAATCGGTTTTCACTTTTGAAGTGAATTTCGACCTTGGATTGCAAACCACATCAACAATTTGGAACAAAGTTTTACATGAATATTTACTTGACCTACAAATAGCGTTACGCCATAGATGGAAATGTTCGATATGTCAATAATATTGAAAGAAGGAGATACGCTTCTGGTAGTAATGCTCAAAGAGATTGCTGGGAATAAGGCATCGAGGCACTGGTCATAAATTGTCACGTGGGAGTAAGTAAACAAATACACTGTACAAACAACCACTGCATCATGTGTACTCAAAGTACCAGTATCATGGGAAACGTTCCCGTCAGTATATGCGAAGGCCAATGCCACCGTGGAAATATCTAACGGTAAACACCACTTACGTTTGCTTAAACATGTTTTATTTACACCGCTTTAAGTCTATATTGCCAATTTTTCTGAGTTTATTTAACAATAGCCAGAACGTATTATAAGATAATATTTGCCCTTGCCCTGTTTCCAGATGACGATGGAGATTCAAGCCAAGTTGGCCGGCGCCATGACAACGTGACTGGGATAAGCCGACTTAGCTCATAAACACTTCGACTTCTAGCCGTGTTCCTCGCCACATGCAAATCTTCCATCAAAGCCAAACAACTTTGTCATAAGGGTCAAGCTTTTGAACTAAGCTGTTTTAAAAACCACTTCTCGGTTCATGCCATACAGGACACTTCTCGGTTGCAAACAAGTGACATGCATTTTTCTTTGAGCGAAAACAAAGTTGTGACATCGGATTTTCTTATGCATCAAATACAGTTGCTTATTCTCTCTTATACAACACGACAAAAACGAGGTATTTATTCTTGAGATGCGTATAATAATTTGAATGTTTACTGCCCACTACTGGTTCACGGCTTTGACGTCACCATATATAGTGACAACGTTTGGAGTTGTAATACCCTAGGGAGCTGAAAAATATTTGATACACAAATTACAACAGCAACCAAAACTTAACTAGACTGAAATCACTGAAAACATTAGGCCTGACGTAAAATACCTGCATCAAAAGCATCACTGTAGAATAACCATTGTTTGTTTTAATAAACATGGGTGTACTGGCCGACAGTGTCTGTAATGACATCGTCAGCTAGTAGTGTAGTAGTGTAAACAAGTTCACCTCAACATAACCGTCCCTGAATTTTCATGTTTTTCCATTTCAGTTGAATGTCAAATCTACAAGTCAACTCTGTATGCTTAAAGTCAGTTGAAGGGTGTGAAAATAACGTGTACACCACGTAGAAGCCGAAGTTAGTAAACGTTGACGGGGAATACTACATTCGCAACGTAGTGGACAGTGGTTACAACGTCGGCCCGTGAAAACTATCCGCACAGCCGCGAGAGTGAGTGAGTATAGTTTTACACCGCTTTTAGCTATATTCCAGCAAAATCACGGAGGGGGGCACCGGAAATGGAGGAATTGAACCTGAGTCTTTGGTGTGACGAGTGAACGTTTAACCACTAGGTTACCGCAGCCCCACAGCCTCAAGGGAGAACTGATGGTGTCATCCAATGCTTTATTGCTGGAATATATTTCACATCCCACTCACTCACCACAGCCTGATAAGTGTAGCTGTTATTGCTAAGAATCTGAAAGTCTATGTTAAGATATCGTGTTTCGATCACCTTTGCGCTAAGATCGCTTCGTTTACCCTGTAGTAAAAGTTCTCTCACCATTCCGTATAACTATTGTTGTTGTTGTTGCATTCACCCAGCAATATTCCAGACTGCCGTCTGTATGAAATCGAGTCAGGACCAGACAATCCAGTGACTGACACCATGAGCTTCAATCCACGATGACAACATGACAAATGTCAAAACTGAAAACTATTGCTTGGCGGGTGATAAATATAGCTGCCTTTATGACAGGATAGCAAGCACCTGATAACAGTTTCACAACAGCCGTATATAACATTATGTACAAGAGATAACAGACTGTGTGGAACATCGAAGTCGCAGGTCCAAATGCAGACAAGGATACACCTCAGTAAACAAAAACATAGACTCATATTAATTCAAAAGTCGTCACGACAGATTTCGTTAAATGTAATGTACGAAGTGCGATAAATGATTCATGAATTGTTCATAGAAATCAGTGATGACACCAGGTGTTCGGGAAAAGACTGAGTATGTTCTGCCGCACCTGTAGCACCAAACCCTGACCAGTTGTATAAAAATATATTTGTTTTGTTTCGAAATAAGTATTGTCCAAAGTATGTAACGTGATATAACATTTTGTCCAGGTGATGTTCATGATCCATCCTATATGTTAAACAGACAGCAATGTGAAATAAATACAAAATGTCAAATAATTTCAATGAAGTTTTATTGTTGCAGTGGAATATAAGCAATATACAGCCTTCATGTGACCGCTGGTATAATACAATGGCAAGACTATGTGACACAAATGAGGTAAATATACAACACAGTCATATCTCACATACATACATGCATAGGATCCTGAACAGGTACACACTCGCAAGACACACACTCCAAACATAACTGTTTATGTACAATCAAATCTCTCCTCATCTTCAAATAATGCATCCTTTTCTCGTCGCGACTGTTCGCGGCATTTGCCGCCTCTCATCTGTTCCACAAGACGACATTATTGTTCGTTAGATTTGAAACATACGTTGTATATATCGACGAAAATATAGATTTGGATCAAATATCAGATATGGTATACACACGAACACAAGACAACGAGATAGTGAGTATGGGAAGATGTGTCAATTTTGACTCTCCGAGAGATAATTATCACAAAATATGAGAAATGGATTGCAATGGGTGATCTTTTTGTTTTGGAAAATGATGAATGATCTGATAAAAACTATAAGACTGTAATGATATAAGATATATTACCCTGGTAGTATGACTAACTTGACCTGAAAACGTTGAGCAATGTTCTGAATAAGGGTCGTTGATGACATATTAACCAAACAGGGAGAATGTGCATCGTTTAACAGATCAGGTAACTTTTAAGTGAGGTTCTTTGTTTTTCTTCATATATGGTGTAGAGTTTTGAGGCTTACTTCCGCTTGTCAACTCCTCCTTCGCATGACCAGGGCCCAAAGCTGCCTACTGAATGTACTGGAGTTGGGTTCTTCATCCATTCAATCACCTGGGAAGGTGTAACAATGTACACGTCGTCCATCTGCAGCAGCTCGTCGATGAAGCGGTCAAGGGCGTCGATGTGATGTTCGGTGTGGAACCATCTGGCGTGGACGAAGATGCCGAGAGGTGCGCGGTTAGAGTTGTAATAACGGAGGAAGTTGCTTCGGAAGAATTCCAGAGCTTCTTCAGCATCACCAGTAGAAGTGCAACCGTCGGGCATAGCGCAAGAGTGACCATCAACTCCATACCAACGCTGGACAGGGATCTCCCAGAGGCCAGGGTACTGATCTTGTGGGCATGGTCCGTGCTGGCAGTAGTACTGTCCGGGGACAAAGTCAAGGGTGAAGGGCCAGACTGGTTCACCGCCCTCCCAGACAGCCCCGGTGAACATGGAAGTGTCGTAAGTGAATTTACCATCGTAAAGGGTCTTGTACATGTTGTCGCCGCCAAGCTGAAGGAAGGGGACGCGGAAGCCCTTGATGCTTTCCTGGGGAACGCCAGCCTTCTCAGTAAGAGCTCTCTTCATGCCGATGACCTCATCGTAGTACTCTCTGTACGAGGCGGAGGACCACCAGGTGTGGGGAATCTGTGGGACAAGGTGTGACTGGCAACCTCAACACCCATGGCGTAAAGAGGATACACGAGGTCGTAGTCAGTGCCGGAGCCGCTCACGTAGAGACAACCACGGACAGGGCAACCGTTGGGGTTGTATCTGCCGGGACGGAACAGACGCTGGAAGTAGCCGTAGTAGGCGGCGGAGACCTCGTCGTCGAAAGTGATCATGACCATCTGGGGGGTGCTCTTGGGGGAGAGGCCGTGAGGGATGCTGGAGCCTGGGCAGTAACAGCTGGGGAGCTTGCAGTTGTGGGGGCCACATTCTAGAGGAGAAAGTAAAAGTTAGAATTACCATTGCAACAAAATTTGTATTTGATCATCCAGTAATTACATTTTTTTTAAGTACAATAAGATAACCCGCAAACGTTTATTGTCTGTCAAAAATGATTCCACGGAACATGCAAGGAAAAATAGTGCTGGAATTATATCAATGGATCCCTGAAAATCAGTGATGACACCAGGTGTTCGCCAAAAGAGGCTTCCACTACCGCCAGCCTGTTCTAATGAACTATTCCAAGGAATTGGGATTAGTTTCAACATTGGCCTATTCATTGATTTAAGTCTAAAAAACATGAGAAAATATTCCATGACTGTATCCTTAAAATGTACACACGATTCAAAGAGAAATATTTTAATAACGTTTACATCGCCATCGAATGGATGTTTGTTAAAAGAAAAGAATTAAAACAACATTTAATCTGCTAACGGTAAGAGCGGCGGGATATTGATCTTGTGGACACGGCCTTGTGTTGTTGTGTCAACACTGAAGACAGCGGTGTTTGCCTTCCAGGCAACCACGTGCTTCCACACAACGCTAGTACTAAAACGTATGTGCATAGATCGACAAGGTTGGCCAATATTAACACCCCAAACAAACCCATTACATGTGGTTAACAGGTCAAAATCAAAATATTTCAGTTGACGTAAAATAAATGTTCGTTCCGCACAGGACCTGGGTATTTAGAGACATTTGTTTGCAATCATATTAGAAAAAAACGTTGTTTGTCACCTGACGCGTTTAGAGCCCTCCCCACATGTCCCTGACAACAATCGGATTTGTTTGTTGACCAATATGCAAGCCATTTGCATTTGGTGCCGCATTAAAATGTCGATGATGTCGCTATTGTCTTGTTAATCCACGTGCCCTATGAGCTATTCCCGGTAGATTCTAGGAGAAATTTTGTAAAACTGGATATCTTAATGAACCAATATCATTGATGCATTAAACGAAATATCTGAAGCTAATGACGTTCCGACACTTACTTATATATGTGAATACAAACTAGGACAAAGTAACAGATTTTTACATAGAAATAGACAATTTAGCGATGTAACATCGCTCTATGATCTAAATTGTCATTCTCTCCCGAAGCATTAATGATGAATGGAATTCAAATGGGATACTACAACAATCCCCGTAAGATCAGATCATGCATTTTTGTATGCTAAGCATAACATCATCCTCGACTGGAATTCGCTTTTTTCAAAGGTTTAAAAACTGTTATCAGACAAAATCGAATGGAAAAAGTCATGCAATTACCACACTGGTCTTTCTGAAAGCGTGATTGTTTTAAGTTACTGAGAATTGTTATAGTGGTTGATGTGCAGTCTTTATCTTGTGCTGGTTGCATATCAAATACACTCCCAGAACATGTTCAGAACTGAAACTTTAATGGATGTAACCTTCAAATATCTAAATGAAATCAAGTCTGATAGGTCTGACGAATATCAAAGAGAGTTGAGTAATGTTTTTGAATAATAATCTGTAAGATGACAACCTGAAAGTCCTTACATCTAGTCTGTAGTTTGTAAAATAAGGTACAAATTCGTTATCCGTGGACTGTAATTAGATTGGACTGTTCGATGGTCTTAGAAAACTCACCTCCTTCAGGCTTGGACACGCTGCTGTGGTCAGGTCTGTGGGTCTTGTCGGCAGAAGCGCTGATGGGGTTGTGGACAGGTTTCTCCGGCTGGGGTGCGGGTTTGTGGTCGTGAGTGGGTTCCTTAGCGTGAGAGTGTTCTCCTGAACTTCCCGATTTACCAGAGTTACTAGAGCTGCCGGAACTACCCGAACTTCCCGAGCTGCCAGAATTACCGGAATTACCGGAATTACCAGAGCTACCAGAGCTACCAGAGTTGCCAGAGCTACCAGAGTTGCCAGAGCTACCAGAGTTGCCGGAGCTACCAGAGTTGCCAGAGCTTCCAGAACTTCCAGAACTGCCAGATGCGTGTTCTCCCCCGTCGCTGCTGTCCTTGTCGAATGGAAGCTCAAAGAGGTTGTCGGTTCTTTCCCATGAAGCAGGATCAACGTTCTTTGGTCTCCACCAGGGATGCGGGGTAGCACCGTGACCGCTGGAGCCGCTGGAACCGCTGGAGCCACTGGAGCCACTTGAACTGCTTGATGCGGATCCACCCTGCTTAGAAGCAGATTCGGCCACTTTTTCTACTTTTTTGGAACCTCCTCCGATTTTGTAGCTGCAGTCTGCGGATTCCGGCCAGTCACAGGTCTGGGTTTGGGTGTTGAAGTGGAGGCCATCTGGGCAGTAGAACTCGTAGAGCTGACCATCAAGGCATCTGGTGAATGCTGCCGGGTCCGAGGAGTGGCAGTTGAAGGCTCCATGGTCGGAACACTTAATGTCAAGCTTGACTGCTGCTGAGGCAAAACTTGCTAGCAAGGCTCCTACGACAAGTTGAGGAATCATGCTGACGACTTCAGTAAAACTCCGAGGTAATAAAGCGTTAATTTTTCAAGACAAGTAGCTCGCTGTGTTTCTATTCCACCTGTTCCGAATGAGCAGCTGAGCTGAGTGTGCCTCTAACCTGTGCCCGTCGGCCTTTTATAACGGATACAAAACACACAGGGACGATTGAAACAATTCCAACCATTGTTTACATATTTGTCTGCGATTTATCCACTTACAGTTTTCCTCGGACAAACAACAGGTTTGGCAGACAAGCAACTCACGTTTTCTCAAGAGCGTCTTTGCCTGCACTGGTCGCACTTTGTCGCCATTCAGGATTGGGCCAAGCAAAATCAAATACACTTGGCATAGGCCCCCTGACAGACCCCTCAACTGCCTGTGGACGTTAAGTGTTGATAGCCTTCAAATTGCGCTCGTCCAACACCTGAGACCATGCGTAGTTTCTAACCTCTAAAATCACTCCGACCTTGACAGAAACAGGCAGAACGACAATTCGTTTTGTATATGCAAATTGTTTCTAATATTTCCATGGAAAAACATCATTCACTTTTCAGGATTACCAACTGAAAAATTGGTTGCAATACATTTCACGAAATATACACAGTATTGCAAACCTCCAAACAGAACTGAAGAGTCTATAAAAAGAGAAGCTGTGAAAATACTTATATACCGGTGTGTAAAAAACCAAACAGCAATCCCATAATGTGCACATGGACGTGAACATATGTGCAACTAATCCCTGTTACACCTATAAGTCTATACAGGAGGAAGTATTTCTTGTGAAATCCGCTCAAACCCCCAAATCCGTCGAAATAACATGCTTAATTGTTACCATAACATATTTTGTTTTAATCGTTTAGTTTTTCCAATTTTGTTTCCTCTGGTCCTTGTATTAATTATGCGTCGTAAACTCGGTGCAAATATTGATGAAAACCGATTGTAGCATTTACTGATTTGATGTTATCTAGAGTTGATGCTCTAGTGTTACTTGTAGAACTGGCTTAGTTTGGCATACTTGGAAATAGCCTGGTGCTGTTAATGTTCCTTGTCAACATTTAATTTTATAATTTAGACATTAGATATTTTAAAATAAAGGAAATACCCTGAAATATATAACCGCATTTGTTCCCTTCTATTTATAATCGTAGTAAAGAATTGCAAAACCTTATATATAATTGTTTTCCACGCATTATAATCAGAAACATTTTGGCATTTTGAATCTCTCTCATTCACTCACTCACTCTCTCTCTCTCTCTCATGCACATGTAAATTCATGTGAATTATCATACACTTCAACAACTGGGGCATTTAGACTACAGGCGTTAAACATTTAAACAGACCACGTATGGACAGAGGAATCCGGCTGAAGGTGTTTATCAGTGAGGGAGATATTGAACCGTGTCTATACCGCTTTGTTCAAGACAACCCAGACCCCTGACTCAGAAAATAAAGAGATGGAAATAAGTTCTGCACACTTTTAAAGCAAAGTTTATTTAAAACTCGATGACACATATATGTTTTACTTTATTTACCCACAGTTATATTGTCACAAACAAGTTCGTGATAATATTTGTTTCTTCAAGGTGTTTAATGAATATTTTTATCTGTGGAATATGAAAGAGTACACACTGGTGCTGTTAGCATGAAATATTAAAAACATGGTGTACTATCACTCTTTGCTCATGTAGCCTTACTTTCCCCTGTTTACCAAAATGTCTTTCTTCTCTAAAGTTGTCATATTTGGTGTTAATACTTTACAAGAATGTGAACTGGGAAATATGTTATTGTGTTGCTTCCCAGACTCTTCTTTCTCGCTTGGATTATTGGAAAACCTGAAACGTTAAACTTTGAATAATGTAAAACAAAATGTTAAAAACACTTATCGTAAAGCAGATTGACTTTTCGTGTGTGTATGTAAATCTAAATGTTGTTCCGAAAGTTTTCCAACCTCAATAAATGTAATAAAAAGCTGTCATCACCGAGTAGATGTGAGGTCAGCGATGACGCAAGGTTTGCGAACAAAGTGTTTATATTCTTTAAGACCGCAACAGAAAAACTAAATTTTAATTCAAAATGAAACTAAACATTTATTTACGGTTTCGTGTATGCTTGCTGCAAGATAAGGTTTCGTTCAGATTTTACATGTTTATTTGTCACAATGTCACACACGGACACACACACACACACACACACACACACACACACACACACACACACACACATATATATATATTTCACCAACATATTCTACTCTCAAGGTCCCAGAACTAAACATGAAACTCTTTATCAAGCCCTTATATGCGACATGAGTAACATTTCTATGGCAAAAGAATGTTTAACATTGTTAAGTTGAAGTTTAAATCCTTCTGTTAACAAAGTTATCATTTTCGTCCTGGAAGTTTATTGAAAGACCATTGGAACTCTCGTGAAAACGGGTGAAAATGAACAGTGCACTCCCGCCTCCCACCCACCCCAACCCACCCCTCTCAAGACGCTGTTTTCGACCCTGCATTTACCTTTGTCCTTTGTTAACGAAACATTTTTAACATGATGTTATGTCTCTTTAATTCGTTCAGTTATATTTATAGGATGGTAATCACTGTAGAAATCCCTCTTAATGCAGGTTGCCTTCCTAAGAAAATATCATGTACAAAGAATGTAGCTATAATAAGATAATCTGGGTGGGGCCCAAGCCGGGAAAGACGGCTGAAGGGCTTCAGTGGAGCGGACTGGATAATTCACAAGGTCATGACATACCTAGCTTCATATCTACCAGTCAAATACTTATGTCCTTGCTTTTTGTTATCAGAAAATGCTCTTCAATCTGGATAGAGGGGCCTTAATATTTCATATACGGTTGCCTTATTTGAAGACGAGATAACATAATATTGAATGCAGGAAGAATGGTAGTCAAAGCGACGATTAGGCCTTTGTCATCTGGAGTAAGAATAAAAACAATTCTATAATACAGTGTACGAATCTCATTTTGCTGTTGCATAGTTATGCATTGGTATGTGCAATGCTTCGTCCACACACGATTATAACCAAGTGTGACCTCATGATATAGAAATCGTTGGATGGCGCTGCGTTTAGCAGAAGTATTATGCTCGTGATATGTTTGTTGTTCCTTTCGTTTAAAATTTGGTATCATACTCGAAACTTTGTCGAAACAATTTTAGTTGTTTTGCTTTTACCTTCCTGATCCGTCCTGAATCATACTATATCATTGATCTGTTGTATTGGAGATGTGTCCAAAATGATATTGGCTGATGTTTTAAACTTATTTTAATGTTACCATCACTTTAGTTGAACCCAGAAACACATCGATTTGACAGGGTTTCTCGACAGGGGAGGAATAATACGTAGGCATAATTTCGAGAGAGACGTCGCACTAGTCAGCCCAATCATATTCTGGATGAGTGACATTTCAATCACATATTTCATCACACGACTTTGTCTAACAGAGATGCTGAATGAATTTAAACAAGAGCGAATGGATAAAATACAACATGTCTGTGCTCAGTATTCTTGTAGTGACCGGTGATGACTAGGTACGTGACACTCTTGTCCTTGTCGTATGGGCGACTGTACCCGACTGTACCTGATCAGGTAATACGGTTGTGTGGCGTTATTAGTAATGTTGGTTGTCATAATATCAACTCTCACTTAAAACTAACAAGCCACAAACACAAATAATTAATAATATATAGAACGTCAGTGCTAATATTAAGTGTCGATTGTCTGCCAAAAAAGATTCCATTTGGTCTGAAAGACAAGAGCGTGGACAAATATGAATGGAGTGAAGGCATCAGGTGTTCGAGAAAAGAGTAAGATAAAAATGGAAAAGCTACTTCAAGTACTCTATTTGTTCTTTCAGTGGAACATGATACTGATGTTGCTTTCCTCGTGAACGTTTAGAAGTGAGTGAGTGAGCATGGTTTTACGCCGCCTTTAACACTATTCCAGCAATAGCACGGCGGGAGACACCAGAAATGGGCCTCACACATTGTACCACTGTACCCGGGCCTTCGGCGTGACGAGCGAACGCTTTAACCACTCGGCTACCCCACCGCCCCACCTTTAGAAGCAAGTGTTGAAAGTTGGATAATGTTCATTAGGTAACGTTATATATATACATGGAGATTAAGAAACACAGCCAACAAGGCAAAACAGGATGACAGGGGGGTGGGGTGGGGGGATGCAGTTTTCAAACAATTTTTATAAAAAAATGGTGATGCTGTATGTTCTGTTCAATGAAGTCGAGATGGGATGATGGGATGAGGCAACAAACAGGATCCTATTAAGGACATTAGCTGAACAAATACCATTCATGTTAAATCCTGGTGCATGTGTCGTTAACCTTTCACCAGAGTTGCTATGGCTTCGCGTCACCAATGCTGAAAGTATCTGGCGCATGAAGGTACGGACGATTAAATCCGGTTTATCTAATTAAACCACTGGTTTCCTCAGCTGTGGGACACACAGCCAACTGACGGAGAGGAGTCAACCAGGGGCAAGCTTACATGGATCTGTGAAGTCCCCACTTCCCTGCACTCATCATACGGAGATGACAGCGACCACAATCACATCAGATTACCAGGCTCATTGTGGAGTCTGACGAGCAGCGTCTTTGACATGGTATAAAACCTAACTTTGAGATTTCATTTTACAATTTGTTAAACCGAAATCACCAAAATCTGCGAATAAAGTGTTTCCTAAGAATTAACTTCTTGTGATGTGATTTGGTTATCGCCATTTGTTTGAAATGATGGCACGACCAAGCAGGATATTCTTTATTGGTGTGTGTAACTAGGGCTGTAGCGTGGAGGGTCGCTGTAGATTTTGGAGAGTTGATTTGTATCGCGCTATCTGTTGTTGTGTGTATATTTTGGCATCTATACTACAAACATTACACTTTGAAATCCCGTGCCTATTGCCCGTATAACGCTTTAGAAATGTATTTCTTTGTGAAGTCAAGGTTTCTTCATCAGGTAAGGTTC